GTATTCACCTCTTGGTGAGGATAGATTATTGGGATGTAGACAAAAATCAGCAGGGAAGAGAGTCCAGGAACATGAGGGCAGAGAAGAATAGAAGATGTTAAAGGCTAGTTCTCCACGTTGTTTTTTCTGTTTTTCCACAGGTATCGGACAGATGAAGTAGAAGTGACCTGGAGGGACTAATAAGATTAACAGAATCAGAGTAGATAGTTCCCTAATTGGAACCCAAAGGACCCTGTGCGTCAGTCTCTGTCCTGATGTCGTGGGAGTCCTAGCTAGCAAAGCTATAGACTCCAAGCAAGGCTTGCGGTCCTTTATGGAACCCCCAAATGACTCAGCAATAAATTTTTTTTTTTTTTTTTTGTATGTTGGTGATTGGATGGTGTTGTTCAGGACCAATATATAGATTTGGTGCTTGATAAATTCTTGTTGGAGGCTGCTGCTGTGGAGCCAAGAATGAGGTATCCTTTTTTTTCCCTTTTCTTTTTCTTTTTTTGGTTAATAAATGGAATCTTGCTGTGTTGCCCAGACTGGTCTTAAACTGGGCTCAAACAGTCTTATCCCCTCATCCTCCTGAGTAGGCATGACATTGTGCCTGGCAACAATGGTATTATAACTATTATTATTTCAGTATCAGGTCTTATGCTAACTGCTTTACATTCATTCTCTCATTTAAATTCTTTGAAGTAGATACTCAAGACTTCTCTTCAAATAGCCCAGAGGCTGGGTGCAGTGGCTCACACCTCTTATCCCAGTGCTTTGAGAGGCCAAGGCAGGAGGATCCCTTGAGCCTAGGAGTTTAAGCCCAGCCCGGGCAACATAGCAAGATACCGTCTATTCGAAAAATCTAAAAATTACCTGGGTATGGTGGCCCACTGTAGCTCCCTGGGAGCGATGGCTCAGTCACAGCTCACTGTGGTCCCAGCTCTGAGGGAGGCTGAGTTGGGAAGAGAGCTTGACCCCAGGAGTTTGAGATCACAGTGAGCTGCGATTCTGCCACTGCACTCCAGCCTGGGTGACAGAACAAAACCTTGTTCTCTTAAAAACAAACAAACAGCCTAGAGATTGGTCTAACTTGTAACTCTCGAGTAAAACTGCCTGTACTCCATATACTTTCCCCTACATGAACAAAACAGTGATTCCACTATTTTGTTCGCATCTACTTACCTTTTCTAACTCTAGCAGCTCTTCCACTGTGCCCTCTAAAACTGATAGCCAGTCATATGTCAAATTCTCTGTATCTCAGCCTCTTCTCTGAATGTTCCCTTCACATTCATGCTCTTCAGGCTTGGTTTCTTACAAGGACTCTACTTGGTAGTGGTGGTGTTTTCCCTTTTGCACCCGTTGTACCACTGGGCCTGGAGGTGGTGCATGTGTCCTCATTTTTTCTCATACTGTTTCCAGACCATTGTCCCTCATCCCTAGTACCCTTCTGCTTTGAAACAAACTACCACACGAACACCACTGTTGTCATAAATCTTGAGGATTTCAGTATTCAGGTAGATCATTCTAACACCACTTCAACCACTTATTTCTTTGGTCATGTTCTAGAGCTGCAGGTCCTCCACATCTCAGTTTCAAATAGCCCACTCTCTGCTACCACCTCCTATCTTTCCAGTTCATTTTTGTTAGTATGCTAAATCCAGCAGTTCATCCCTTCACCAGGACCTATGGTCCACTGATCATACTTCCTTTCACAGAGTTTATCCCCCATGTGTTTTTATTTCCCTCCTTCTTCAGCTAAATTCCCATAATCCGCCTCATTTCCCTTCCCCTCTTTTGCTTTTGGCATATTCAATTGATCACCTACTTTAGACCCATGGAGCCAAACGGGCTAGTAAAAAATAGCTATGCTGACTGATCTTTAAATTTATGACCATGACACTAAACTGGGTCCTTTATGCCACCCATAAATAGTCCATTTCTCTAGTCCGTTCACTTGCCCTCTTCTCTAGTAACTCTTTCAGACCTTCTGTCCTCTCAAATCTCTAACATCTCCCCCATTCTCTGACCTTGGTTTCTATTTCAGTAAGAAAATAGAAGCAATCAGTATACATTTACAGCCTTCAACCCTTGAAACTAACCACCTTTAAGCATCTGTACCCATGTCCTCTGCCTTCCTTCCTGTTACCATGAACCAGTGGTTCTCAACCAGAGCTGATTTTGCTTCTCAGAGGACATTGGATTGTCACTGCAGATTAGAGGATACTTTACTGATTAAAAGTCAGGGCTAGGTGCAGTGCTTCACACCTGTAATCCCAGCACTTTGGGAGGCTGAGTTGGGTGGATCACTTGAGGCCAGGAGTTCCAGACCAGTCTGAGCAGCATGGCAAAACCCCATCTCTACTAAAAATACAAAAAATCAGCTGTGTGTGGTATCACACGTCTGTAATCCCAACTACTCAGGCACAAGAATTGCTTGAACCCAGAAGGCAGAGGTTGCAGTGAGCCAAGATCATGCCACTGCATTGCATCCTGGGTGACAGCAAGACTCTCTCAAGGGATAATTCTCCCTCTTTTCCTGGAGAGTCAGTGTTTCCTTCTCTCCTGAATCTTGCCATCAGCACACAAATATGCCACTGTTTTCCTCATTTTACAGATAATGCCCTCTTGACCCCATTTGCCCTTTCAACTGCTTCCCATTTTTCTGTTCCACTTTATAGCAAAACTTAAAAAGCCTGGTCTTCAATTTCTCTTTAAAATCTCTACCAAAACTATTCTTACCACATTCACTAATGACTTGCACATAGCTAAGTCTAATGGTGTATTCTTCATCTTCAGAAGCTATCAGCAGCATTTGGCACTTCCTCTTTGAAACAGTTTCCTTACTTGGCTTTAGGGTGCATTTTCTCGTCTGCCTCCTAGTTTACTGACTGCCCTTTCTTAGTCTCCTTTGCCAGTTTTTCCTCATCTCCACAGAGTTTAGTCCTCAGACTGCTCTCTTTACACATATACCTGCAGTGACTTCATCTAGTTGTATACATTAAAATCATTTTGATGGGAGTGACTCCCAGTTATAGCTCCAACCTGGACTTCATCCCAAATACCTACCTGCCCATTGGCACCTCTACTTGGATGTGTAATAGGCATCTCAAATTTAACATACTCAAAATTGCACTTCTCCAACTTAGTGCTGTCGTCTTTCTTGTTTCTCTTAATGACAACTCAATCCTTCCTGTTGTTCATACCAAAGTATCTTTGGCAGTTTTCTTTCTTCTTCTCCAGTTCATCAGATCCTCTTGGCTCCACCTTCAAAGTATATCCAGAATTCAATTTCTCCTCATTTCCACTGTAGATACTTGATCTACAGTGGCAGCAGTGGAAGTGAGGAGAAATGTGAGAATTCTGTATTGTCAGGATTATTGTTGTGGCTGGTCTTTCTCCTTTCACCATTGCTATGTAGAGGCAATTCTCCACAAAGCAGCCAGAGTGAATAGTGTTAGCATGGAAACCAGATCATGTTACTCCTCTGCTCAAAACCCTCATTGTTTTCTTACATCAAAGGAAAAACCAGAGTCTTTTTTAAAGGTCTGTGAGGCCCTCTGTGATCCACTCTGCCCTGCCCCACCTACCACTTTCATCCACTACTCAATTCCTTGTTTGCTCAGCTCCAGCAACACTAGCTTTTCTGTTGGCCTAAACACCGCAGTTGTCCTCTGAGGTGGGAGCAGAGCATTGGGCACTTGGTAAATGCAGAGTTCATTTTCTAGTCCTGTTCTGGTTTTTATGTCCCGATCTTCCCTTTCCTGTTCTCTCTGGAACTTGGAGAACTTGGGACTTCCTGGGGAGCCATGGAGTCCCTACCTTCATTACTGAGCCAGTACATGTCCACAGTCCTCTGGCCCTGCTTGGATTGGAATATTGTTTGAGGCTGCTGGAGTAAGGATGCTGCCTGAGAAAAGAGAAGGAAAGAATGAGACAAACATCTTATGCAACTGAGTAATTGCTCCTTGTATCGTACCTCTCTTCCCCTAAGAGCATTACTGCTATTCCAGAGAAATGTCATGTGGCTTCTCTCCACATTGACTGACGACATTCCCTTTTCATTTTCCTGGGTGCCTGCTACTCTAACCCACTCTCCAACTCTGTTTTACCTAAAACAGGGCATGTTTTAGGGTTGGTCTCCTTTCTACTAAGTATCCATCCCCATGACATCCAAATATTCTGGGTTTACTGGGAACAGTGGGGCTATATTTTGTGTTATAACACAAAATAATGTTATCTTTTTACTAAGGATGCCCCAAACGTAAACTGGCAAGATGTGTAATACTATTAGAATTAGGGTAGTGCCAGAAACCCTTCTCTAGAATTGGACCATAGCCCTTACCACACTCCAGCTCACCCTACTATGTTTTATCTTTTGATCAGAATTTCTCCCACCTGACATTTAAAGCTTTCCCCCACCCCAAACATTTCAGGAGAACTAAACCTCAAGCAAATTCATTTCTCTCACATCTAGTACCCAGTTCTATTCAGTCTTAGGTCTTGGTAACTCTAGATGAGTTCATGTGCCTCCCAGATTGTCTTTGAAAGCCAGTTTCTATACCTCTCACACCATGTCCTTCTCTTAGGCCCCTTTTCACTCACCTTGAGCTTGGTGTTGAGTAGCCAAGCTTAACCCTCTTGGCATCCTTATGAGGTTAAGCCATAGTTGTAGTCAAAGGCATCACTTTATGTAGAGGAGAGAAAAGGATATCTCGGAGGAAGCGATGAAGGAGTGGGGGTCTTTTTCCTGGGGACACAGGCACTGCTGGGCAGCTGTGGGAAGCAAAGTCTTCACCATGATTATATTTCCTCTTATTTCTAGTTCCTGACCATTTGTATGCCCATCTTACTCTTCTCTATCTCACATTTACAGTAGAATACCTATGTAATACTCCACAGCAGATATAGGCCCTTCTGCCAATTTTCTGATGTCCCATGACCAGCACACTGGACTTCAGTTGGTTCAAACACAAGACCTGAAAGGAGAAGCAACGAGGAAAGAAGGGGATATGGTATGTTGGGTGAGGGATGACCAGAAGACTTTCTTTTTCTCCACTACTCCTCCCAGAATTCAGGAAGCTAGTTTCCTTCTCTGTCTGAGCAGATAGCCCTGCAGAGGTTCATGGTTCTTGCCATAGGCTTTCCCAAAAAGCCAAAAGTCTGCAAGAACCAGTCGTGTAGTATTAAAGAATCAAGTGGACCAAGTGGGAACTGTGATAAAACTGGAGAGCAGCTGCTTTGTCCCACAGGAGAGGAGCTACTCAGCCCCAGCTAACTGTGTCTTGTGGGATGGAGGCCCAGGATTAGCAGATGCCTGGATCTTAAGTGTTGGCAGTTTATTTTAAAAATTGTACATGTTGTACAATCAAAATTCAGACAGAGATTTCATTCCTTGGCCACCATTTTCAACCTCTGGTCTAGAGACTTCCTTACTGGTAGTTCTTAATGTGATCTTGCACACTGGTGAGGCTCACTGAGTAGGACAGTGCCACGTGATAGGTGTCTGCCTAGACTGAAGAGCCCCAGTTCACAACTGAAAAGAGGAAGGGGTGGTGCATCAATCGTCGGGTAGAAGAGGAAACAGATTTTACTGTTAGTAGTTCTGGGCTTTTTGTGGGGGTCAGCCTCCTGTTGTAACTCACCCGCCTACTCACCAGTTTTCTTATGAGCAACAGCAGGAGGAACCAACCATGTGAGGAGGAACATGATGAGCAGGCAGAGCAGAGAGCCCAGGAGGGAGAGCAAGGGACTTTACCTGCAGAAGGAAGGGCACAAGCCTGCAGGGGAGAGGAAATGCAGGCCCTTGTCCTGACCTCAGCACCACCCACTCATGTACCCCAAGGATGCCCTCCCAACTCCTTAGGTCTTTCCAGCCCTGGACCTTAACCTCAACACCTGCCCACATTAACCAGGCAGCCAGGTAATGTAGGTGTAGAAACAGCCAAAGTTGATGAGGGCACAGGTGCAGAGCAGGAAGTTGGCGATGATGGGGGCAATGATGTTCAGCTCGGCTTTAGGGGAGTTGAAAGGTCCGGAGTGAGTCTCCACACTAGTGTCATAAGATCCAGGTCTAAAAGTCAGAGACATCATTTTATGGCTTTCCCCATTCTCTTTATTCCCTTCTCCTTACTCCACCTGCACATTCCCTTCTCCTTACTCCTTACATACCACCCCTACCACTGCAAGGTTAGGAGACATTTTTGTCCACTTTTAGGAAAACTGATAGAAAAGAGGCTTTAGGATCAGGTCCTAGAAGCCAGAGGTAGGGCTGGGAAGGGCATGAGAGGAATGGTGATTAATAGAGCCTGGTGTGGAGGGTGGGGTGGGGAATAAGGATGAAACCTACAGCAATGAGGAAGGTGAGCAGATAGCTCCACAGAGGCTTGTGGTTTTTGCCATGGCCTTCCCCCTCCCCCCAAAAAAGCCAATGACTGGGTATGGTTTATCCTGGCACAGCTGCTGCAGACACCATGCTCATGGCCTGAGGAAAAGGGCAGACAGAAGGGAAAATCAATGCATTCCTAAAACAATGCTTTCTACCCATGTTTTCACCTAGTTTTCCCAGACTTACTAGAATTTATCTGCATCTTTGAAGGTTTTACCCCATTCACATGAATCAAGCATCTATGCTATGCCAGGCAATGGGCAAGCCTTCGCTCTCTATACTTCTCTGGTTCACTCACCTCATAGTGACTAGCGAGCCCATAGAGGCAGGACCCTTGCTCTCGACAACCGCTGAAATCCCAGCCATATTGGCACTTTGCGGCCAGGCAACTCCCATTCTGTACACCCTTGTCAGTCCTATTTTCTGAAGCATCTTGAATCATATAGGAACCTGGAAATGAGATTGAGGATACACATTTCTTCATGGGAATAAAACCCCATCCCAAAGCAGTAGGGCTGTCTAGGTACCACCAGTACCAAAAGGGGAAATGGAAGTATGGCAGGGGTTGGGGCAGTAGGGAAATGACCAAGTTTGATAATCACAGAACACCATACAATTCATTAACAGATATGAGGGATGGGGGAAACATGAAGGGTGGAGTGGGAGTCACTACAGACTCACCAGCCTTGATGTTGCCTTTGCTGGAGAGGGCTGAGATAGACAACCCAGTGACAGTATGACTGATGTCAAGAATAGGATAATGAGCCATGGGCACCCTGCAGTGAGGATGCCCCCTTCTTCAGAAGCACTCCCCAAAAACTCCCCTGGAGCAAAGAGTTCTCACCTACCTAGATCCCCAGACTTAGGGAACCATGAGCTCCAATCCATTACCATGCCTTCTGTGACCCAGCTGAAGTGCACTGGGGCCTTGCTGGTCCTGGCCCCAGAATTCTCCAGATCATCTTGGGAGTGTGGCTTGGTGTGGGGTTCCTCTGTCGAGGTGAACATGGTGCTATATCCTGGCTGAGATACCAAGACCCCTCACTAGCCAGTGCATCTGCAACCAGGAGGATAGCTAATGGACCTGGAGGGCAGTCCCAGAGCTGTAATGGAAGGTGGTGGTAGCCCACATGCAGATTTTATCCTACCTTCAGGAGTTTACTGTGGGACCTGGGTCTTACCAAGCTGCATGGAGCTATCCCAGGACTATGGAATTGGCATAGAACTTGTAGCAGGCTGGGCACGGTGGCTCAAGCCTGTAATCCAGCACTTTGGGAGGCCGAGGCGGGTGGATCATGAGGTCAAGAGATCGAGACCATCCTGGTCAACATGGTGAAACCCCTGTCTCTACTAAAAATACAAAAAATTAGCTGGGCATGGTGGCGCATGCCTGTAATCCCAGCTACTCAGGAGGCTGAGGCAGGAGAATTGCCTGAACCCAGGAGGCGGAGGTTGCGGTGAGCCGAGTTCGTGCCATTGCACTCCAGCCTGGGTAACGAGTGAAACTCCGTCTCAAAAAAAAAAAAAAAAAAAAACTCGTAGCAGGGTCCAGGGTCCTCATCCTTGTAGGCAGGTGGTGAGCAGAGATACTGGCTTGGGATATGACTCCACCAGATTGCAGTTCCTCCGCCTCCTGGTCGGGGGTCAAGATGCTGGTCACATTGTCTTGCTGCGGGGAGGCTATGAGAGGCATCTGAAATGTATGAACTAGGAAAGAGGGTGCAGAGCCTGGACACTATCTCCCCTTTTGCTGGCCATGAAAACCACAAACTGCCTCTCAGTCATTCTGGAAAGTGCACCTGCTGGCTAGGCTCACCCAGGGAATGCTAGCTACTAAGAGTTGCCGAGGTACCCAGGCAACAAATGGGGGAATGGAGACAGCTCTGAAAGTAGGAGGGGGTGCTTTGAGGGTCAGCCCACTTTCCCACCCTACCCCACCCTCCACATGAGCCCTTTCATCTGAATCACAAGGGACAATCATACTCCTTCCCTTCTTAAGTCTGCCTGTGGAGTCAACCTATCTGGCCTGGGCCAGACATTGTATAGGCCAGGAAGTAGCCGCTCTTGGCCTACCCTACCTCCCCAAGAGAAGGGAGAGGAAGTACATCACTGCATCTTCTCCCAAATCCTTTCCCCAATATGATACTCAAAACTGTGGCACAAAGTGACTGCCAGGCTTTTAGGGGCTTTAGTCAAGCACCTGGTCTCAGGATGAGAAAAGAGTTGTTGTCCTGGAGGGAGAGGGAGTGGCTGTTACTGACTGGCTCAAACGGAATACCTGCATGCCCATAGCCCATCTAGCACAGGACTCTGGTTTCCACAGCATGCAGCTCAACCACACCTTCCACTATCTGGTTCTTATCCCAGTGCCAAGATGGGAGTTAGAATTCCCCAGACTGGGCCGGGCACGGTGGCTCACGCCTGTAATCCCAGCACTTTGGGAGGCCGAGGCGGGTGGATCACGAGGTCAAGAGATCGAGACCATCCTGGTCAACACGATGAAACCCCATCTCTACTAAAAATGCAAAAAATTAGCTGGGCATGGTGGCGTGTGCCTGTAATCCCTGCTGCTCAGGAGGCTGAGGCAGGAGAATTGCCTGAACCCAGAAGGCGGAGGTTGTGGTGAAACGAGATTGTGCCATTGCACTCCAGCCTGGGTAACAAGAGTGAAACTCCGTCTCAAAATAAAGAATTCCCCAGACTTTTTCAAAGACACTGGGTTGAATTTCAGACTCTCACCCTGGACCCCACCTCTGGACAGAGAGGAAGCCCTGTGCTGGGGGTGAGACATCTAGGTCCATAACCCTGATCCCTGCCCCTTCACTTTCCCCACTCCTCCGTCCTCTATGGATAAGGCTGGGCTATGTTCGCTCCTGGGTCTCAGCTGTTCCCTCCTGGGTCCTAGATTTTTTATTTTTTGAGACAGGGTTTTGCTCTGTCACCCAAGCTGGAGTACAGTGGTACAACCTCGGCTCACTGCAACCTCTGCTTCCTGGGCTCAAGTGATCATCCCACCTCAGCCTCCTGAGAAGCTGGGACTAAAGGTGTGGCCTACCATGCCCAGTTAATTTTTGTACTTTTTGGTAGAGATGGGGTTTCACCATGTTGCTCAGGCTCGTCTCAAACTCCTGGCCTCAAGTGATTCATCTGCCTTGACCTCCCAAAGTGCTGCAACTACAGGCATGAACCACCACGCTCAGCTAATTTTTGTATTTTTTGGTAGAAATAAAAAATCTGTGGTTTCATCATGTTGCCCACGCTGGTCTCAAACTCCTGAGCTCAAGTGACTCACCCACACCATGCCTCCCAAAGTGCTAGGATTACCGGGAAGAGCCACCATGCCCAGCCAGGTCCCAGCTTTATCATTTACAGAAAAGTCAACAGCCAAAGCCCAGTCCAGACTCTGCCTGACCCTTCCAGCCCACTCTGGTGAGCACAGCCCTTCTGGCCTTGGGCTCATTCCATTGGATCCCCTCATTCTCCTTGGTTTTCTAATTTGCCTAGCTCAGCACCCTTGTATGACCTATAGGTGGGAGGGAGCCCAGGGGATTGGGTGTCGGAGTTAGGACACCAGGTGCCAAGTGCCTAGCCAGCCACCACCAGCTATAATTAGCCCCGTGGGGCCACTGGCTGACAGGGATGCCATGTGGGCAAGTTCGCTCTGCCACACAGCCCCAAGCACAGCAGGGGCTCAAGTAAGAGGGCAAGCGGAACACTGGTGTCTCCTGAGGGTGACTAAAAGGATGGGGGCAATAGGGGAGGAGTGTGGTACTGGATCTTTACATGGCTTCTTGCATGTTTTGCTGCACCGTTTGTATCCCATAGTTGCCCTGTATATCCGTGATACTCCTGTGTTGGGATGTGGCTGGGGGAGGAGGAGGGTGTTGGAGCAGGGGAGAGACTGACATTTTGACCAGCCGGAGACATGGTTGCTCTGGCCTCTCTGGGTCCAGCTCTGACACTAGGCTGTCTTGCCTCTGCTCATCTGCAGCTATCCAGCAAACCCCAGCATGAGCCTCTCAGACACCCCACATTATCCTTCTCAGCTGGAGAGTATCTCTCTTCCCGTCCAGAAGGATTGCCTTGGACTCCCGGTGCACGCCCAGAGAGCTGCTTCCTGGCCTTCCTCCCCAGACGAGGATCCCAGTTTGCCTTCCTTTCCTCTGGAAGAGCCTGACCCCAGGCCCCTGGTCCCAGGGAACCTTCCCTTTTCAGCCTCGTCTCTAGAGGAAGAAGAGGAAGAGGATGAAGATGAAGACGAGACGGAGCCCGAGTGGCTGCGCAGCGAGGAGCATCCGAGCCAGTTTTTCGCCGAGGCCCAGCGGCTGCGGGAGCAGAGACTGTTGTTGGACGAAGAGGTGTCAGTCGCGGGGCGGGTATACGGGGTGCATCGGGTGATCCTGGCCGCAGTCAGCAGCCTCTTCCGAGACAGGCTGCTGGGCGGCGGAGGTCCGCGGCCCCCCTTCAGCCTCGAGGTATCCCCAGGGGGATGGGAGGCCGTGCTGACCTTTGCCTATGAGGGGGTGCTGGGCCCCGCCCCGCAGGGGGATGTGCTGGCGGCAGCTGAGACGCTGGGAGCGCCCCGGGTGAAGGCTGCTGCCCAGGGGAGATGCAAGAGGGCTGGAAATGCCCGGGAAGATGTAAAGAAGCCCAGCCAGGCAGAGGAGCTGAGGGAGAACCTGCGCGGAATCGAGCTCCTCTACCGAGAGGGCATCGGGTGTGACTTGAAGCTGGAGGCAGGCGGCTTCCAGCTGCGGGGTGAGGGCCTGTGGGGCATTAAATTACTGCAGGTGCATATGATGCCGGAATGGTGTGTGCAAACCGCAGGTGGTTTGATCCCCACCATGATGGTTTCGATCCCTGCTGTTGTCAGAATTTCCCTGGGATGGCCTTTGGTGCCTCTCCTGCCTCACCGAGAGCTGAGCATGCGCGGTTGAGTTGTTTTCTAGGCGAGCTGACAGATTTAAACTGGCCCTATATCTGGCTTTTCCTGTGTCCAGTAACAGGGAATTTCCAGCCAGCTGGCTAGAGCTAAGGGTACAATCCATGGCGGTAGAACAAGCAGAAAGTGGATTGACTCAACAGAAATTAACCAAAGGCCCTTCTTGTCATCTTCCATTCGGGACACAGGGAAGCCAGGGGAACATGGTGGAAAACTCAATGTGTCCTTTCACCTTGGTATGCTTGACACTGTGGCTGACTCATAGGCCCTGCAACTAATGAGCAAGTTCTGGTACTGTTTAAGGTTACCAGGTCAGGGCACTTTTTTTTTTTTTTCTTTCTCCTCTGAGACAGGGTCTCACTCTGTCACCCAGGCTGGAGTGCAGTGACATGATCTTAGCTCACTGCAGTATTCACCTCCTGGGTTCAAGTGATTCTCCTGCTTCAGCCTCATGAGTAGCTGGGATTACAGGTGCCTGCCACCACGCCTGGCTACTTTTTTTGGTATCTTTTAGTAGAGATGGGGTTTTACCAGGTTGACCAGGCTGATCTAGAACTCCTGACCTCAAGTGATCCACCTGTCTTGGCCTCCCAAAGTTCTGGGATTACAGGCATGAGTCACCGTGCCTGGTCTGGCCATGGCACTTTGAAGTTAACCCTGCTCATCACCAGAAAAGCTAAGTAGGGTTGCATAAGTTGAGTGTTATTCAGAGTCTACTAACATTTAGTGAGGCAATGGGTGCCTGAAACTTACACATGACATCTCTTAATTTTCACTGAAAGCTAGTGAGGTCAGTATCATTATCTATAGGTGCAAATAAGGAACATTAAATTCAGAGATGTTGACTTGCGACAACCAGGATACAAGTCCACATTACTAGTCTAGTCTGCTTCCACTAGGCCATGCAATGCTCCTATGCCATTATTCCCGGACACCATAGGACCTGGAAAATGAAGTTGGAATGTGGACACATCAAAGTTTAAAGTTACAAAGGACTAGTTTAGAGATTATCTAGTTCAGCTCTTACACTTCACTGATGAAGAAATCAGAATCTGGGCCGGGCACAGTGGCTCATTCCTGTAATCCCAGGGCTTTGGGAGGCCGAGGTAGGCGGATTATGAGGCCAGGAGATCGAGACCATCCTGGCTAACATGGTGAAACCCCATGTCTGATAAAAATATATAAAAATTAGCTGGGCATGGCAGCACATGCCTGTAGTCCCAGCTACTCTGGAGGCTGAGGCAGGAAAATTGTTTGAACCCAGGAGGGGGAGATTATAGTGAGCTGAGATCGTGCCACTGCACTACAGCCTGGGTGACAGTGCGAGACCCCATCTCAAAAAAAAGAAAAGGAAAGAAATCAGAATTCAAGACTTGTCCAGAGTCACATAGGTACTGCTCATTAGAGGAGTGACTGGTATCTAAAGTGCTTCTGGGACTCCTAAAAGGAAAACTACTCCAAAAGTCTTTATTTTCATTTCTGATAGCACTAGATGGAGGGGTGATTTACATGTTTGTAATTATAAAATTCTCACTCGGCTTTTGAATTTAAGCATACTTGTATCACTGCTTTTATTTCCCTAGGAAACATTCCTACTTAATGGTTGGGAACCTGTCACTTAAAATCCTAGGGAATAGTAATGATTAAGAGGTGAATACTAGTGATTGTGAGCCCTTTCAAGGTTGGCTCTGAACTATAGGTTGATTGATGATATGGAAGCTGAGATAGCTTAGCTTGTTTTGAGGAATGTAGATGTTCTAAGACAATATATATTTGAAATCTGTCATTGATGCTTACTACTTGGGAAGTAACAGTCCGCTACCTACTGCTTAAAAGACAATGGAAAGTCATATGAACAACACCTGCCCTTTGGGAGAGGCACACATGCCACAGTTGGTCCAGGCAACATGGAGTTCTTCAATAGCTTGGGCCTCTGTGACCTGCCAAAAGGACTTCTAGCAGCATTCCTACCCACCTTTTTATTATAAAGCAATATCCAAAGCAAAGAATAAGATGAACACTTAAACACCCATTGCCCAGACTTAACTGTTTACTATATTTATTTCTTCTGTTTATTTTATTTTTTGCTGAAGTTTAAAGGAAATTCATGAAATTTTACTCATAGATATTTGAGTATGCATCCCTTTAAAAGAGGACAATTCTGTGGGACTGGGTATGAAAGGAAAAAAAGCAAAGAAGACGTTTTATCATAACCATAATACCTTTATCATTCACAACAAGAGTAATAGTAATTTATTTATTTATTTATTTATTTTTTGGGGACAGAATTTTGCTCTGTTGCCCAGGCTGGAGTACAATGACATGATCTCAACTCACTAAAACCTCCACCTCCTAGGTTCAAGCGACTCTCCTGCTTCAGCCTCCTGAATAGCTGGGATTACAGGCATGAACCACCACATCCAGCTAATTATCGTATTTTTAGTAGAGATGGGGTTTTACCATGTTGGCTTGACTGCTCTCAAACTTCTGACCCCAGGTGATCCACCTGCCTCAGCCTCTCACAAAGTGCTGGGTTTACAGGCATGAGCCACCGTGCCTGGACAGTAATTTCTTAATATCACCTAGTCCACATTTATATTTTCCCATTTGCCCAAAAAACATTTTTTAGAATGAGTTTGTTCAATCCAGGAATTAATCAAGGACTGTGCTATTCTCAGTTGTATGTCTCTTAAGCTTCCTTTAATCTAGTACAGTCCTCCTTCCCCTTTTTTATTACTTGATATATTGATTGGTAAAAAACAATAATGTATAAGATTGGTTATCCTGGGCCTGGTGTGGTGGCTCACGCCTGTAATCCCAACACTTTGGGAGGCCAAGGCAGGCAGATCAGTTCAAGGTCAGCCTGGCCAACATGGCGAAACCCTGTCTCTACTAAAAATACAAAAATTAGCCAGGCATGGTAGTGTGCACCTGTAGTCCAGCTACTCTGGAGGATGAGGCACGAGAATTGCTTGAACCTGGAGTGCAGGGGTTACAGTAAGCCAAGACTGCACCACTGCACTCCAGGCTGGGCAACAAAGTGAGACCCTGTCTATAAAAAAAAAAAGGTTATCCTATAAAATGCTCCCTTTTCTAGATTTGTATATTTTTCTTCCCCTTGTGGTTTTGTCTAACTTGTTCCTTTAGCCTTTCAACTTCCTATAAACTTGACTTTAGATCTAAAAAGTTTAATAGATTCAAGTTAAATATTTTTATGGAGTATGAGGCTTAACTGTGTAACAATACATGTTAATAGGACAGTTCCATTGTCATAACCAAGGCATTGGTACACAAGCATGCTTACTGAAGCCTGACATCAGTGACAGTGGATGGAAATGATCTGCCCAGATGGAAATGGAAAATAAATCCTGTCCTTTCTCTAGGACTCAACTCAGTTTCCTTATTTGATTTATTTATTTATTTATTTATTTAGAGGTGGAGTCTTGCTCTGTCATCCAGGCTGGAGTGCAGTGGCATAGTCTCAGCTCACTGCAGCTTTGCCTCCCAGGTTCAAGTGATTCTTCTGCCTCAGCCTCCAACTAGCTGGGATTATGGGTGCCTGCCACTGTGTCTGGCTAATTTTTGTATTCTTTTAGTAGAGAGAGTTTCACCATGTTGGCCAGGCTGGCCTTGAACTCCTGACCTCAAGTGATCCAGCTACCTCAGCCTCCCACAGTGCTGGGATTATAGGCATGAGCCACCTCACCCAGCCAGTTCCTTTATTTTAAAGGGAATAATTGAATTAGGTTATTTTGAAGGTCTCAAGTTTCAGATCTCATGATTCTATAAATTATACCAAGATCAGGAGAGGGTTATGCAGAGAAAAGCTGAGACAAATGGAAAACATTAAAGACTAAATCTTAGGCAAGAAGAGACAGTAATCAGATGAAGTTGGATTACAGCCATTCCCAAGTGGTGCCACTTTCCCAGCAAAATCTAACAGAATAGTTGTCAATTTTGGTTCTTGAAATTGTAAAGAATTTTATTTTGTGCACAACATAGAAAGACCTATTTAAGTTGCATGTTGGTCTTTTCCATTTATTTTGTGCCCCTCTTAGTAAATGCTTCTTGACTTGATCCATTCAGTTTTTTTTTCTAACCAACCTGACCAAAAGGACTAAAGCAATATTTATCAAAGTGTCCTCAGGCCACTAACATGAGAATCACATAGGGTTACTTGAAGTGTTAAAATACAAATTTCTAGAGTCTCCGTCCAGAACTGTAGAATCAGAATCTCTGGGAGTGGGCCACTGAAACCCACATTTTAACAACTACCCATGGTATTCTGATGCACACCACAGTTTGGCCTGTAGCAGTGGGTGGCTTGAAGGGCCACATCTGGAGGTGCCAAGTTGGGGTAGTGCCTATAGGTCTTGCAACACTTTGAGTCCTCCTCTATTTCTTCTGCCCTCCTACAGTGCACCGAGCGGCCCTGGCCTGTGGCAGTGAGTTCTTTGGGGCCATGCTCCTGAGCGGGATGAGGGAATCCAAGGGCACAGAGGTATCTCTGCGGACCATCTCTACCCGGGACCTGCGACTCCTTGTCTCTTTTGCTTACTCTGGAGTTGTGCGGGCAAGGTGGCCAGGACTCCTGAGAGCTGCTCAGGCTGCTCTGCAGTACCAGAGCTCTTCCTGCCTGGATTTGTGTCAGAAAGGCTTGGCACAGGGCCTCAGCCCCGCCCGTTGCCTGGCCCTGTTCCCCATGGCGGAAGCCCCTGGGTTGGAGAGGCTCTGGAGCAAAGCCCGTCACTACCTCCTCACCCACCTACCTGCTGTAGCCTTGTGCCGTGCTTTCCCTTCTTTACCAGCTGCCTGCTTGGCTGAGCTCCTGGATAGTGATGAGCTCCATGTACAGGAGGAGTTCGAGGCCTTTGTGGCTGCACGGTGTTGGCTAGCTGCCAACCCCGAGACCCAGGAGTCAGAGGCCAAGGCCCTGCTGCAATGTGTCCGCTTTGGCCGCATGTCCACCAGAGAGCTGCGGAGGGTGCGGGCAGCCGGGCTACCTCCACCCCTGACCCCAGATCTGTTGCACCAGCTGATGGTAGAGGCTGATGTTCCAGGCCAAGAGAGACGGAGGGAGCCTGACCAAGCACTGGTAGTGATTGGTGGGGATGGGCTCAGACCAGACATGGCCCTAAGACAACCATCCCAAGCAGTGTGGTGGGCCCGAGCCTTCTGCTGTGGCATCGGACTTGTAAGAACTGTGGAGTGGGGGCAGCTGCCTGCCCTGCCTGCCCCAGGACGCTTCCGGCATGGGGCTGCGAGCCTGGCAGGAAGTCAACTCTATGTGTGTGGGGGACAAGATTTCTACAGTCACTCCAACACCCTGGCATCAACTCTCAGGTATGAGCTTCTAAAAGTGGGCAGGAAGTGGTAGGCCCCAAGGTGGGCAGGGAGAGAAATTGCTGGCCTAGCCAACCACACAGAGTCACTCTTCTTGCCTATGTCCAGGTGGGAGCCCAATCAAGAGGACTGGGAGGAGATGGCTCCTCTGTCCCAGGCTCGAAGCTTTTTCCCCTTGGTGGCACTGGATGGACAACTTTATGCCCTAGGTGGAAGACAAAATGGTGTTGCCCTGGACTCTGTGGAGACCTACAACCCTGAGCTCAATGTCTGGAGGTGAGCAGGCAAGGGAGAGATTAGGAGACTCGGAATAGAAGGAGAGTTGAAGATGCTAGTTGCCTTTATCTTATCCTGTTTTCCCTTAGGCCAGCACCTGCACTTCCAGCACCATGTTTTGCCCACGCAGCTGCCATTTTGGAGGGCCGATTGTATGTGAGCGGTGGCTGTGGTGGGACTGGCCAATACCTGGCCTCACTGCTGCACTATGACCCCAAACTTGAGAAGCCAGGGACATTTCTGAGCCCTATGGGGGTACCTCGGGCTGGCCATGTCATGGCTGCACTGGGTGGGCGGTTGTATGTGGCAGGTGGGCTGGGTGAGACTGGGGACCTGCTGAGTTTTGAGACCTATGAACTAAGGACTGATAGCTGGACTCACCTGACACCTCTACCTTCCCCCCATGTGGGAGCTGCAGGTGCTGTGCTGCAGGGGGAGCTGCTGGTGCTGGGGGGCTACAGTCACCGTACTTATGCCCTCTCCCACCTTATCCATGCCTACTGTCCCGGCCTGGGCCGATGGCTTTGCCTGGGAACTCTGCCAAGGCCCCGGGCTGAGATGCCTGCCTGCATCCTGACACTGCCCACTGTGCAGCATACAGCTTTGGTTCCCACCCCGCACCAAACCAAGCCTGCTGGGTGAAGAGGGAGCAACAGTGTATGGCGGAGGAAGGCGTAAGAAATCGTCTGGGAGAAGGACAGAGATTATGGGAGAGAAAGAGAAGGTTTTATTCGTGGCAGAAGTTTATTCTCATGCTGTGCATTGTAAACTGCTTTTGTACGTTTGATCTCCATTGAGGAAATGGTGGTTCCAGAACTCCTGGGGAAAGCATATTGGGGAAGGGGAGGCAGCTGAATATCCAGGTAAGGAAAGGAGAGCCAGGAGCAATTGCACAAGGCTGAAGGATTCTTGGGAGGGAAAGTTCATCTGGTTGGAAAGAGAGTTAAGAAGCTTCAGTAGCCAAAGTGTAGAGATCATGAGAGGACAGTCAGGTAAATGGTTCTGACCCATGGATCAAGGGAAAAATGGGGAATGGCCATCCATGAAAGAGTTTGAGGAGTGTGGGAGGAAGGACTGTAAGTCATTCAGTCCTTTTTTCCCCCAGAACTTGCTCCTTTCTCCTCGCCCATCCCTGGGATGCCTAACTCTTCTTTTTTAAATTTTATTTTATTTTTGAGATGGAGTTTTGCTTGTTACCCAGGCTGGAGTGCAATGGCGCTATCTCGGCTCACCGCAACCTCTGCCTCCTGGGTTCAGGCAATTCTCCTGCCTCAGCCTCCTGGGTAGCTGGGATTACAGGCACGCGCCACCATGCCCAGTTAATTTTTTTGTATTTTTAGTAGAGACGGGGTTTCACTATGTTGACCAGGATGGTCTCGATCTCTTGACGTCGTGATCCACCCACCTCGGCCTCCCAAAGTGCTGGGATTACAGGCGTGAGCCACCACGCCCGGCCCGACTAGCCCTTCTTAACAGTATTCTTTCTCAGGTAATTTTGTTGGCCTGGTCTAGTGTTTCCTAGCTGAGACACCACAGGCCGCCCCTGAGAGCCTCTTGGTTTCCTTCTGAGGCAGAAGCTCCCACCTGGACATGGATGGCACAGCAGCCTGAGAGGCCTGATTGGTCCTCCAGGGCCACTCCTGGTCCTCCAGGAGTGGTGTGTGGGGAAGATGAGGGGGGCAGAGGACAAGGAGGGAAAGGCCCAAAGTGGAAAACAGATGATCTGAGGTTTGAAGAGATGGGATGGAAGAAGTCAGAACGCTGTCTGGCTTCTTTCTTTCCCTTTGGGCAATTTGAGGAATCAGGAGTGAAAACGAGACCATTGTTGTGTGAGGTCTCAAGTGGTGAGCGGATGTGGCAGAGAGAAGAGTGAGAAGCAGACAAGACTCAGGAAAGTCATTTCCCCCTTTCAGTCCCTTTCCCCAGAGTTATTTTTAAATTAATTTCCCTTTTTCTTGGCCAGGGAAGGAGGTCAGATGCATCCTCTTTCTCTCTTCCTCCATCCTCCTCTCTCCAGTACCCTTTTTTTTTTTCTTTCTCTTCTTTCTCCCTCACACAGTTATTAATCACCTACTTTGTGGTAGGCACTGTAGGAGGCACCAAGGATACAGAGTTCACAGAGCCCCTGACCAGCAGATAGACCTAAACAAATACAAGTTTTGAGTGGACTTAGACATATGGACGGGTCTTGTGAGAGCCCAGAGGATGGAGCAGGGAACTCTGTCCAGAAAGGCTTCTGTTAGAGAAAGTGTTATCCGATGGGTATATTTTGAACTGGATCTTAAAGGCTGCCTGGAATCTCGCCCATTAGAGAAGGGGGAATGCATTCGAAACACAAAGAAGTGAGGCATGCCTACCCTGTTTCTCCATAGCAAAGGGGAAGTTGGTATTCCAGAGGTTCTTCAGATAATTCTGCTGCTCTTGCCACCTAGCCTCTTCTCTGGAGCCTTCCTGAGGATAATGGCTTTCACTTAATGACTTTGTATTCCCGCCCTCTACCACTCATCTGTATCCTTCTTGTCTGCTATTTTCATTTCTGCAGCCTGGACAGCTGAGAACAAAAAAAGGGTCAGGGAGTTTTTTGTGTAGGTTGATTTTCTATTACCATTACTTATTAAGATTTTCATGTTTCTAAGAGTGTGATGGAGCCTCCTTTGCACTGTTCTTCATTCTGGCCCCAGAAGTACTTGACATGCATTTTATTTATTTATTTTAAGATTTTGTTATTTTAGTAAGGATTTTTCTATGTCTCTATTTAAGCTAGACTAGGAATGTAGTCACAAATGAGAAAGGGTAAGTACGACGTATAAGAGAAAAGAAAAGGAAGAAGGAAGAAAGGGAAGAAGGAAATTGAGGGAGATGCGAAGCTATAATAATTGGATGAACTTCTATGAACATTTTTTGTGATTTGTACCTAAAGACAGGCTTAAATAAAGGTTTCACAGTGATTGAATCTTTCTTATCTGAGTTTCTCTACTATAAGAAGCATTTAAAATAAAATTCCTTGTAATCTGCCTTCTATCTCTACCACATGATTGAAATCATCTCCCTCCACTGTCACTATGACCTACTTCTTACCAAATCTAACAATTCGTGGCCATCTTCATTCTCTTTCATCTTTCTGCAGGAATTGACTGGCTTGAAAACTGGCTCTTATCCTTAAAAGTTTCTCTTCTCCTGGCTTTAGACATAGTACACTCTCCTGGATGGACCTTCTTTTATTTCTTGTAAGCCAGATCAAAGTGTCCAAGGGGGTATGGCTTTGTCCCAAATGGATTTGATAGCCAAGGATCCACAGGTATGTGGATGAGGGTGGTTCATTGCAGAAAGCTCTGACTTTCATTATTTATCTTTAAAACTGAGTATCCTGAGTGAGGATAGAGGAGATCTCTGACTTGAAGGAGGACCCTAGTCAATAGTCCATTCATCAGTGAGAAGGGACTGAATATAGGCAAGGTAACAGGCTGGGGTTTCAGTCAGGTGGACTAAGAATAAGGTAATATCAGGGTAGCATTCAACCCCAGAAGGGAAGTGAAGTGAGAAGTAGGAATTGGGACAGAAACCATGCATGCAGACTGGGCACCTGGCAAGGCTAGTGTGATGACTGTGTAGAGGCCCAGGATTCTTACCTTTGGTGAATCAGATAATAAGCCAAGGTGTTCTAGATGCTCTCTAATAGCTCCCCCTACACTCTTCTCTTAACCCCCTTTTTTGGTGAGGGTTAAATTTCTGTTATCTCTTTGACCTTTCCAAGATTGACTCAGGTACTAAGTAGGACTGGACATGCAGGTTGTTTATTTAGTACAAGAAAGTGCATGGGACTCTACTATGTATCTCTTGTCTCCTGTGCATAGTCCTGGGTTACTTATGTTCTTCTTTTCCTTTGCTTTGTGCTCCCTGTCAGGAAGCTCACCTCTCCTCTGTCTCCAACCTTGATGATTCACTTGGGTTCCAGTCTGATTTTTTTCAGTCCTTCCACTTAGATGTACCACCATCCTTAGTTCAGATTCATCATGCTTTATTGGCACTATCATTTCCCTGTTTCCTGGACCTGAAGCTTTGGAATCATCTTGAGCTTATTCTCCCTTATCTTTTTTTCTTCACTTGACTCATCATGTAATACTGGACTACTGAAGTACAAACCGACTTAGTCTCTTCTCCCAATCTTTTCTATGTTGAATATAGTATATATGGAAAATTTTTAGCTGGGGGTGGTGAAACACACCTGTAATCCCAACTACTTGGGAGGCTGAGGCATGAGAATTGTTTGAACCTGGGAGATGGAGGTTGCAGTGAGCTGAGATTGCACCACTGCACTCCAGCCTGGGTGACAGAGTGAGACTGTCTCAAATTAATAATAATAATTATATATGAAAAATTGATAGCAAGGAAGGTTTCTAAAAAAAATAGAAGGCCAAAGTCTGGGCACAGTGGCTCATGCCTGTAATCCAAGCACTTTGGAGGCCAAGGCGGGTGGATCACCTGAGGTCGGGAGTTCAAGACCAGCCTGACCAACATGGTGAAACCCTGTCTTAAAAAAAAAAAATAGAAGGGCAAAAGTTATGTGAAATTCTTGGTTTCACTAGCTGCAAAACCAAGAATCATTATTTACCCAGACAGACACTCTGGGTTGTCGCAGCAACAACGCCCAATCAAAAGAATGAAAAACTGCCAGGCACTGTACTAAATGCCCATAATTCCAGCTACTTGGAAGGCTGAGATGGGAGGATCACTTGAGCCCAGGAGTTTGAGTCCAGCCTGGACAACGTAGTGAGAATCCCATGAATAAAAGAAAAATTGCATAGAAAGATTAATAGAATTATAGAATGGAGAGGTTTCAGAGATCGTGTGATTCAAACATTTTGTTACACAGCTTTAGGAAATAAAGGTATGTGGTACACAGTCTAGATAATGAAGAGAAAGGCTTTTCATGAAATTAGTCTCTCATGTACACAAGGACCAACAGGCAGGCTAAGCCAAACAGCACAGGTTAGGTCTACAGACAGGACAGTCATAAGTACTCTTTCAGGATCACATACTACATTCTAAATCCTGTCTAGCCCTTGAGATCAAGGGGCCCTAAGTGAAAAAGTGTGAATTTATCACAGCTCCTGGTAAAATATCTACCAAAAAAATTACAGATAGATAGATACTTATGTGTAGCTATAAACATACATATATATCATTAGTGGTAAGATTATAGTCTTATTCTCTGAGAGAGAAATGATTATGGTATTATTACTATAGCTGATTCAGAATATAATAATCTGTATTTCCTATTTGATACGTTTTAGATCTGTGTCCCTGCACATATCTCATGTCAAATTGTAATCCCCAGTGTCGGAGGTGGGGCCTGGTGGGAGGTGATGGCTCATGGGAGTGATTTCTCATGAAAGATTTAGCACCATTTCATATCTTCTGATAGTGAGTTTTCGTGAGATCTTTTTGTTTAGAAGTAGGTAGCACCCCCTCCCTCGCTCTCTTTCTTGCTCCTGCTCCTGCCATGTAAGACGCCTCACTCCTTCTTTCCCTTCTGCCATAATTGGAAACTTCCTGGGCCTCTCTAGAAACAGAAGCTGCCATGCTTCCTGTACAGGCTGCAGAACCGTGAGCCAATTAAACCTCTTTTCTGTATAAATTACCCAGTCTCAGGTATTTCTTTATAGCAATGTAAGAACAGACAAATATAATATTAGAAAAATGACAAAAAAAATATAGCCTTGAAAGTGTACTGAGCTAGAATCAGTAACTTGGCTTCAAGTTTCAGTTCAGTTGTTGCTTTGGTAATCATGAGTAAGTCCTTCAACCAGTTTGCATTCCAATGTCTTAACCCGTATAAGCACCATAATGGTATTGTAAACACCACAGTGTTATTATAGCTCAAGAGCCCCAGAGCTTGGGATAGTCCTAAGGACCTCTAGGCACATTGGAAAAGTGTGACTTGGTAATCTATAAATCAAGGTCCTGGGACATATCGTCTTAGATCAGAGAGCTAAATGATGCCCAACAAGGAGGCCAGTGTACTGTAGTGACAAGCTCCTGAGACCATGAGTACTGTACAGAAGGTTGCAAGCTACTCCAGCCTGATGTACTCCTGAGACAGGGAAGCAGATTCATCTGGATTCCAACTGAGTTAGAGAACTGTGTATCAGTTTGACTCATTACCAGGTAGACAGTCTGAGCCCCAATACACACTTTTCAAGCAAACTGTCACTAATGAAAGCCAACTGTTTCATTACAGACAGTAAGAACTGCTTGTTTTATTTATTTATTTATTTATTTATTTATTTATTTATTTATTTTTGAGACAGTCTTACTCTGTTACCCAGGCTGGAGCACAATGGTATGATCTCAGCTCACTGCAATCTCTGCCTCCCGGATTCTAGTGATTCTCCTGCCTCAGCCTCCTCAGCTGGGATTACAGGACTCCACCACTACACCTAGCTAATTTTTATATTTTTGAGACGTGATTTCAACATGTTGTTCAAGCTGGTCTTGAACTCCTGACCTCAGGTATCCACCTGCCTCAGCCTCCCAAAGTGCTAAGATTACAGGCATGAGCCACTTTGCCCAGCCTAGATTGTTTTAGATTATAGCTATCATTGTTTGTGCTAGCTATATGCCAGAGGATATGCTAAATGCTTTGTGTATATTATCTAATTTGAATGATAATACGGCCTATAAAAAGTGGGTGCTATTATTATTACCACTTTATAGATGAGAAAACTGGAAGATTAGAGGAGTTAATTTGCCCTAACTCACAAAATAGTTTGTAAATGTTGAGCATGTATTTAAACTAGTAGAAGGACTTTATTATGCCCCCTCTCTAATATAGCTCCATCTCCACTTGAGTGGCAAGCTTTATCCATGAAACTTATACATGGACTCTACAAGTGGGAGCAATGAGCAGGTATAAGTGCCACTGGAGATTTAGAGACATGGTCTTGAGAAATCTAACATCCAATTGCTGTCATGCAAATAGTTTTGAATTTCAAAGAAGCTCAGCCAGAGCAAGGGGTAGTGGGTTCTTCCTTCCGACAGTTTTTCTCATTTATTAGGCTGTGTTGAGCCGGTGATTGTTATGAGAACGAGACTGAGATGAGACTTTTCAAATGGAGAACCTAGCCTGGCCACTTTGCTACATTATCATCATCTGATCTTAACTGCAGACTCAAGGACCACTCTCTGGCCCCATTCAGGATTGATGAGATTACAAACCTTATTTTCTTCTACAGCGTAGGTCACCCTGCTGGTCAGTAGCAGAGGAGGATATAAACACAGATCCATTGGACCAGGTGCGGTGGCACATGTTTTGAGACCCTTGTCTCAAAAAATAAAATAAAAATAAAAAAATAAAAAATAATCGCAAATCTGTTGGTCTCCACAGTGCATGTTTAAACAACCATGTTTTAATATATAATATACTATCTGGCCAGGTGTGGTGGCTCACGCCTGTAGTCCCAGCACTTTGGGAGTCGGAGGCAGGCAGATCACCTGAGGTCAGGAGTTCGAGACCAGCCTGGACGACATGGTCTCTACTAAAAAGACAAAAAGTTAGCCAGGCGCGGTGGGATCCTGTAATCCCAGCTATTCGGGAGGCTGAGGCAGGAGAATTGCTTGAACCTGGGAGGTGGAGGTTGCAGTGAGCTGAGATCATGCCACTGCTCTCTAGCCTGGGCAACGAAAGTGAAATTCCATCTCAAGATATGCATATATATACACACATATATATACAATATGTACACACATATATATATACATATATACAATATATATGCATATCTTGAGATGGAATTTCTCAAATTTTATATATTTTATATATAAAATAAATAAAAATTAAAATACAATATATATTAATATAATTATATATATGATCATATATAAAATATATACGTAATATCAAAAATATATATTATATATCTCAAAATATCTAAAAAAATTGTATATATATTT